AAGTCTCATCTGTCCTATAAGATTAAATTGGTAGCTGTTCTAAGAATTATTTACAGTCTGTACCTAAATAAGGCAAGGAGTTAGCTTATTAATTTTAAACCCCCCTAAAAAAACCTGCAATATTTTAATCATTTGAGAGAACCGTTTTTACCTTCGATCAGAATGGCTGATGCAAAACTTCACGATAGTAACTCATAGCTCGGACTAATGTTTTCAGCTGACATGAAGTGGAAAGTGTATATTGAATCATGTGCTAAGTTTACAGCTAAGAAGGTTAGTTGACTATATCGTACTAGAGATTTTTTCTATCCTACATATATGTCTTTGAATATTGCTGCCACATCTGTTCTGGTGATCCCGCTATATATTTAGGGATTCTTAATAAAATCCACACAAGAATCCCGTCCTGACACGGCAACCAGACTTCAGTCACTTTCCCACCGCCATAACGTAGCTTCCCTGTGTCTTTTCTATAAATATTTTCGTGGCAATTGTTCTAATGAGCTTTCCTCTTTGGTATCTAGATTTCCGGAATTCAGGCGCAGTACCAGATTGGTGCCAAGGTCTCATTATTTTACATTTGAAATGGCTATTTGGAACCAGAAATTCTATGCTAACAGTTTGGTCAATTGCACTTCTCGTTGGAGTTGATTTAAATTTTTAATGATTTTAGGTGCCGGGAAATAATTGTTGTGGATTCCGCGATAAAATCCGGTCTCAAATGAATGACAAACGCAGGAATGAAATATAGCAAATAAATGTATTGATGCAATAATACAATTGGTAATACGGTTAGTAGATCCAGAAATGCGGTTAGTAGCAATAATAATATATATACAGTCTGGGAAATTCAGTATCGAAGTAGGTCTTCCTTCTGAGTCTACGTGCTCGCAACTGTGACTCCTACAAAGTGGCTACCTCACACTCTCACTCTCTTACTGTAACACAGTCCCGGGTATTCACCGGTAGCAGTACAAGTACACACTGGGCGAGTCCACTTGTATACAAAGGGTGGACCCCTTAACAATAATAAATAAAGAAAAGAGTTCTACGGGAAGAAATGCTGTAAAAAAATAACTATACGCATCTAAAGGTTGCATCTAGCTAGTTCAATAGTAAAACGGTGAAGCCTAGTTGCCAATCTAGTAGCTCGCTTAAATTTATACAGTCGAGGCACAAAGGATAACAGCTCAGGTCTACCCATATTTCGTTGTACTCTTTGCTTTTTGAAACAGATCGCACCATCTTTATGCATCACAGTTTCATTCACGAAAGGAATTAGTATTCCGGTAGCTCTCGGTAATTTGGAGATCTAACTTACAGGATATACAGGGTGACCCCAAAAAACCGGGAATTTTTTAAGCGCGTATTGCCAAGCATGAGCAGGTGGCAACACTGCGAGACAGTGACCTTGAGCAAGTAAACATTTCGCAATTTAGAATTCAAGATGAAATTCACAGTATCCCAACTGAGATGTTGCAGCAGTCAATGAGGAAACTCAACAGCAGATTTCAAGAATGCATTCGTACAGGAGGACGCCATCTACAGGACGTAATTTTTAAAAAATGAAAATTCCATCATTGTTTCTTAAATGGCATGTTTTAAGGTTTCAATTACTATGAATAAAATATTTTTCTTCCATCACTCTTAGTTTTATTGGATTGTTAAAAAGTTCCCGTTTTTGTGGGTAACCCTATAGTTAAATAAGTCAGCTTGAACAAAACAATATTTTCAATATGTTTTAAATGTCTTAGAATAATTGTTAGTCTTTGTCCATTTCATAATGTGTGACGTCATTCCTTTACATTTGGATAGGCATCGAGCAGATATGTACGTGAGAAAATCATGGAGAATTGTAATTTAAAAACAGTAAAATCAACCTTGCTAACCGAAACGTTCCTCTCTAACGAAATCTGGAAAAGCACGTCAAGCTACATGACGGTTCCGTATAGGATACAGGTTCGATTCCTGTTGGAGGACAAATATTTTCTATGAAAATTTCTCTGACATTCAGGCCGGTAAATATCGTTAATACTGTTTATTATAAACAGAGCATTTACTTAAATATTTGTATCTATAAAAAGAACGTATAAGCATAAAAAATGTCTTAAAATATTTTCAATGCATTAGTCGTTCATCTTCATATATCTTACTATATTTTCGACTTATATTTGGGAAAAAGAGTCACCGGTCACCCTCAGCCGAGCTAAAGAGATGTCTGCAGGAGGGACACAAAGGCCTTTGAGATCAATACTGACCATTGGGAGGACCTTGCTGCTAACCGTTCTGGATGGAGAAGCACCCTGACTAAACAACTAATACCAGGAGAGCAGAAACTGAACAACGCAGCAGAAGACAAACGGACTAGCATAGACAACACACAGACAATTCACGGGTGTGATGTGTGACAGAAATTACCCTTCGTGCATCGGCCTGTTCAGCCATAGGGGCGGGGTCGATTTTTCAGTGGATCAGATGAGTAGGGTTAAATCCATGGTCATTGATGACTGGGGAAGGCAAAAAATAAATTCAAATTAGTTTTTTTTTTAATCATTTCACCTGAAGTAAGGCGATGAAAGCATTAAGACTGAAAGAATTTGAGAAAATTTTATTAAGTAGAAAAAAACAATAAAAGAACAGGTTTATAATAAAGAACACCGGTTGATGACGCATATTGCATTGAAGCATTTGATCATCGTATTTAACATGAAATCAACAAACTGAAGAGAGATCCACAGACTAGAGGTTCGAGAGAAGAAACTATTAGAATAGAACTTACGGATCTCTTTAGCAATTCCAAGAGTGAAATGATTAAATATAGCTGTCAATCTAGTACTATGGCTAAATTCATAAAATTCCGGTACCAAAAAGGAAACAATTGCCATGAAATAATTTATAGGAAAGGCACGGGGAAGTTACGTTATAGCAATGAGAATGTGACTGAAGCCGAGATGTCACTTCCCGACTTAAGAACACTGCAGATTCTTCTTAAAAAATTTTAAGGTTAAAATATATTGAAAATGCAGTAAGGTTTGGGTTTTCTGTGGTAGTCCAGGAATATGTAACGCATCTTATTTCTAGCAAATCATCAGCCTTTACTATCTGGGATATTTACAAAAAAAAAGCGATAAAATCAACTGTAAAAGCAGTAGAAAACTGAATATTACCGATATTACGCTTATTTATATATTAAACGCCAAAAAGTTAAACTTCCTTCAGCAGGTTTTCATTAAGACCCATAATTAGTTGTCAGTCCTAGTATATAATTACAGGGTGAGATAGGTTTACTGTCGCCATTTTCTTATTTTTTTTTAATTTTGCGCATGCGCGTTATTTGTTTTTTTTTTTTTTTAATTTTGTCATCTGCACAGTATAGTGGGGTCAGTTAGGCACCGTCTGTAAGAAAAAGACATCCATGGCGCAATTGACTCCACCAGATCTTTGAAAACAGCATACAGTACTGTTTGGCATTTATGCCGCAAGCTCCAATACAAACATCTCAGAGTGTTTGAGTTTCAGTCTGAGGACTCTGCAGAGCATCCGGAAAGTGTTGGATGATATATCGAGTGAAAATTGGGGTTTTGGAGTGATCACTAGTGATGGCGACGTTCCCAAAGAACCTCAGACAACACGGATGCCTACATAAAGTGCCTTGAAGAGTTAGTACTCCGTGGGTCATGAGGGTGGCTGCCGGAAGACCCTATGTCTAGCAATAGGACTCTGCTCCAGGCCATATAATCAGGAGAACCCAGTCATGGCTGTCAGACAATTTCTCCGAACACATCAACCCTTAGACCTGGCCAACTAACTTCGTAGATTGCAAACCAATTGATTATGTGCGGGGCGCAGTTTAGCGAGTATGCAACGAAACTCCTTGTAATAACAAAGATGAACAAAAGACAAGGATTATGGCAGCATTCAACAACTTAAACACGGAGACAGTCCAGAAGATTTGCAGGAGATTTTGAAATCGTCTAGAGGCCGTGGTTGAAGCCAATGGCGATTTTATTGAATACATTTACACTTTAGTATTTCAAGATATTTTTGTGTAATTTTGGTAAATATATCTGTTAAAATGATATGTCAGTTTTATTTTTCGTTTTGACGTCATTCAGACGACAATTTATCCAAGGCACACAGTATATCAATAAAAGTATTTGGCCGAAGATGTCCTTTCGAAGGTCAAAACGGTTAACTTATTTTTTTTTCTATTTTTATTTATTCAAAAAAATTAAATATTTAACAACTTCAACAATCTAATTTAGAGCAAAAAAAATTTCAACATGGGGTATATTTTTTTTTTCGTATCTATGTCTTAGAAGCGGACATTATTTATCCTATGGCATCTATCGTTCGATTTTAATTTTCTTTTATTCCTGTCTTCAGTCGGTTTAAAAGAATAAAATCTGGAGATCAGAGAAATGCCGGTCGATGCAAGGTTAGTTCAATTTGGGCCAATATTACACTAGCTGAGCGAATTAGCAAAGAAAGTCTGGGGAAACGTCTTTGATCAATCAAGAACCATTGCTGTTGACATAAGAGGTCCAACCAATTCGATTTGATTAAGAAAAGTCCACAAAAAATAGTATTTTCACTACACATTGCTTACTTAGCTAAAGAGTTTTAGTGGCGATAATTTTTTTCATTTCGTTTTATAGAAAGAAGGAAAAAAAGAAACCATATTTATGCTACGGCATATTTGCTGAGAGTTTCAAGTTGGAATTGGAATTGATAAATAGGTAAAATACAAAACTGCAAATGCAAATATTTATGACAGGAATGCAGTCAAAGATTTCTCCACTGGTGCAACAACAGTTGCCCTGTTTATTTTTTTCCCGTTACTCCATTTTCCCCGAATAATATATAGTGTCGTGATCACGTTGGTGGTTGACCTAATTGCGTATATCAAGACGCCTGATAGCAGTTATGATCTCAATTTTTTAAACGTTGGGCACTTCACCACTTCACGAAATGGCGGAACACATTCTTCCTACATTTAACATTGAAACGCCGGTTCTCGTACGATCACCGAAGTTAAGCAATGTCGAACCTGGTTAGTAGCTAGATTAGTGACAGCTTGGGAATACAAGATGTTGTAAGATTGTATGCCCGGATAAAGTGATGGTCAACGGCTTGGATTCCTTATATTCACTACGTTGGGAGTAGTAAGAATTCACATGTTTTACTCTCAGCTAACTATTTAGGGATAATTTGTTGAGCTTGTATCATTATTATCTTCAAAACATTCTTACAATCTAAAAATAGCTGCTGGCTTTAAATGACCCGCAAAAGGTTGATAAGCTGTAAAAAAAAAAATAAATCCATCTTTCTACACTAATATATTATCTGTTTATCATTGTGATATAATAAACAAGGTATTGGAAAACATATATTGTTTTCTATAGATTTATATCCACTATACATGATAGTAATCAGCGTATAAACCTAGTTAAAAATACGCTCCCAAATGGGAGTTAGTATTGCGCCGTATATGAGGATAGCCTACATTTTTTTGCAAGTTTTATTCGCCTTAGTTATTATTTCATCAGGTCGTCTTATTTTTAAGGGATATTTTTTTCTTTTACTTTTGTGATTCTTTAAGCAAAAATCAAGAAATTGCTGGAGTTACAAGAAATAAAAAAGAAGAAGAAAAGGGCCGAAATAATGAATGAGAATAAAAACAAACATATCAGTAATAAAGAAAAAGAGATAGTAATTGAAACGTTCAAATGAACGAGAGGATATAAAGAATTAAGAAAAAAAAGGAATAAGTGGAAATAACGAAAGAATGAAAAAGAAGATAGCAAAGTGATGAAAGCAAAAGAAAGAAAAATATGAAATCCGAAAAGAGAAGAGATAGAAAGAAAGCAAAACGAAAGAAAAAGAGGAAGTAAGCAAAGAAAACAGAAAGAAAAGAAGAAAAAGAGCAAATAACGAAAATAAGAAAAAAGTAAAACAATACAAAAAAAAAAAAGAAGTAACAAAGAATGCAAAAAGAATGAAAGAAAGAAGAAAGTACACAAAAAAGAAAGAGAGGATATAAAGAAGAAAAGAAGAAAAAGAGGAAATATCAAAACCCAGGAAAGAGAAAATGAAATAAATAGGGAGAAAGTAACAAAAGAAAGTAAAAAAGAAAGAAAGAGTGGAAATAATGGTAGAAAAAAGAAAGAAAGCAATCACAAAAAAAAAAGAGAGGAAGTAATAAAAGAGATAAAAAAGGCTATAATGGATGAAAGAAAAAAGAAAGAAATAAAAGAAAATACCGAAAAAGAGCAAAGAGAAATTGAAATAAATAGAGAGGAAGTAATAAAAGAAAGTATGACACGGTAGAAATAAAAAAAAGAAAGAAAGAAAGATAGAAAGATAGATAGAAAGAAAGAAAGATAAAGAAGAAATAATGAAAGAAAAAAGAAAGAAAGCAATCACAAAAAAAAAAAAGAGAAAATAAAAAAGATAAAAAGGCTATAAATGAAAAAGAAAGAAATAAAAGAAAATACCGAAAAGAGCAAAGAGAAATTGAAATAAATAGAGAGGAAGTAATAAAAGAAAGTATGACACGGTAGAAATAAAAAAAAAGAAAGAAAGAAAGATAGAAAGATATAGAAAGAAAGAAAGATAAAGAAGAAAAATAAAGAAAAAGAAAGAAAGAAAAATACCGAAAAAGAGCAAAGAGAAATTGAAATAAATAGAGAGGAAGTAATAAAAGAAAGTATGACACGGTAGAAATAAAAAAAAGAAAGAAAGAAAGGTAGAAAGATAGAAAGAAAGAAAGATAAAGAAGAAATAATGAAAGAAAAAAAAAGAAAAAAAAAATACCGTAAAAAGAGCAAAGAGAAATTGAAATAAATAGAGAGGAAGTAATAAAAGAAAGTATGACACAGTAGAAATAAAAAAAAGAAAGAAAGAAAGGTAGAAAGATAGAGAAGAAAGAAAGAAAGAAAGATAAAGAAAAATAAAGAAAAAAAAAAAAAGAAAGAAAGGAAATACCGAAAAAGAGCAAAGAGAAATTGAAATAAATAGAGAGGAAGTAATAAAAAGAAAAGTATGACACGGTAGAAATAAAAAAAAAGAAAGAAAGAAAAGATAGAAAGATAGAGAAAAAAAAGAAAGAAAAAAGATAAAGAAGAAATAATGAAAGAAAAAAAAGAAAGAAAGGAAATACCGAAAAGAGCAAAGAGAAATTGAAATAAATAGAGAGGAAGTAATAAAAGAAAAGTATGACACGGTAGAAATAAAAAAAAAGAAAGAAAGAAAGATAGAAAGATAGAAAGAAAGAAAGAAAGATAAAGAAGAAATAATGAAAAAAAAAAAGAAAGAAAGAAAGAAATACCGAAAAAGAGCAAAGAGAAAATTGAAATAAATAGAGAGGAAGTAATAAAAGAAAGTATGACACGGTAGAAATAAAAAAAAGAAAGAAAGAAAGATAGAAAAGAAAGAAAGAAAGAAAGAAAGATAAAGAAGAAATAATGAAAGAAAAAAGAAAGAAAGAAAGGAAATACCGAAAAAGAGCAAAGAGAAATTGAAATAAATAGAGAGGAAGTAATAAAAGAAAGTATGACACGGTAGAAATAAAGAAAAGAAAGAAAGAAAGGTAGAAAGATAGAAAGAAAGAAAGAAAGATAAAGAAGAAATAATGAAAGAAAAAAGAAAGAAAGAAAGGAAATACCGAAAAAGAGCAAAGAGAAATTGAAATAAATAGAGAGGAAGTAATAAAAGAAAGTATGACACGGTAGAAATAAAAAAAAGAAAGAAAGAAAGGTAGAAAGATAGAAAGAAAAAAAAAAGATAAAGAAGAAATAATGAAAGAAAAAAAGAAAGAAAGAAAAGGAAATACCGAAAAAGAGCAAAGAGAAATTGAAATAAATAGAGAGGAAGTAATAAAAGAAAGTATGACACGGTAGAAATAAAAAAAAAGAAAGAAAGAAAGATAGATAGAAAGAAAGAAAGAAAGATAAAGAAGAAATAATGAAAGAAAAAAGAAAGAAAGAAAGGAAATACCGTAAAAGAGCAAAGAGAAATTGAAATAAATAGAGAGGAAGTAATAAATGAAAGTATGGCACGGTAGAAATAAAGAAAAGAAAGAAAGAAAGGTAGAAAGATAGAAAGAAAGAAAGAAAGATAAAGAAGAAATAATGAAAGAAAAAAGAAAGAAAGAAAGGAAATACCGTAAAAGAGCAAAGAGAAATTGAAATAAATAGAGAGGAAGTAATAAAAGAAAGTATGACACGGTAGAAATAAAGAAAAGAAAGAAAGAAAGGTAGAAAGATAGAAAGAAAGAAAGAAAGATAAAGAAGAAATAATGAAAGAAAAAAGAAAGAAAGAAAGGAAATACCGTAAAAGAGCAAAGAGAAATTGAAATAAATAGAGAGGAAGTAATAAAAGAAAGTATGACACGGTAGAAATAAAGAAAAGAAAGAAAGAAAGAAAGAAAAGAGAAAGAAAGAAAGAAAGATAAAGAAGAAATAATGAAAGAAAAGAAAAAAAGATAAAAAAAAGAAATAATGTAAAAGAGCAAAGAAAATTGAAATAAATAAAAAAGTAAAATGAAATATGGCACGGTGAAATAAAGAAAAGAAAGAAAGAAATAAAAGAGAAAGAAAGAAAGAAAGATAAAGAAGAAATAATGAAAGAAAGAAAGAAATAGTAAAAAAAAGCAAAAGAAAGAAATAAATAGAGAGGAAGTAATAATGACAAAGAAAAAAAAGAAAAGAAAAGAAAGAAAAGATAAAAGGAAAATAATCAAAGAAAAAAGAAAGAAAAAGAGGAAATACCAAAAGAGGGCAAACAAAAAAATAGCTAAGAGAAAGCAAAAAAAAAAAAAAAAAAAAGAGACTGAAAGCAAGCAATCAAAAAAGAAACAAAAAGAGGAAGTAACAAAAGAACAACATAAAAGTATGCAAACAAGAAAAAAAAAAGCAAGAAAGTAAGAAAGAGGGGAAATAACGAATGGATGTAAAAAAAAAAATCATCCAAATAGTAGCAAATGGAAAGAGAGAACGATGTTTTCCCACCGTCTGATTGTACTTATTTCGGGAATCGTATTAATATCTCCGTTTTCATAACCCGCGGCTTTTGTTTTTCGCAACTAGCAAACGCTAAATAAATAAATACAAATATTTACCTAAAGTGCGCAAATTGCATACATTAAAGCAACATGTCGTCGTTGAGATGATTGCAAATTTTATTTCAATCCATTCATCCCTCTTCTGCGTCGCTTCCCATGCTCAGCATCGATCTGTCTAATTATGGAAACAAACCCGGAAGACACTCAGCAGCTGCGGGCAGTATTTTAATGGTTTTATGCATTTAAATAACAAGAAACAAACACTCGCTGGGAATTTAGTTGAAATCTCTTTACTTTATTATTGCATAATTGTTTCAGTTAAAAGTGTGAAACTTATCAAAATTAATAGACTATATTTATCTTAATCAGCAGACACATGCAAAATATTCTCTCTATAAAGAATTAGCAACATCGTTTGGCTAAGCATTGTGGACGATCGATTCTAGGTAAACGTCGGTGATACACGAGGCTGAATGGGGATAACAGACGAAAAATAATCGTGTTTCTTAAGAATATATTTTGCCCTGTCGGCAGCTTTTAGAATACGTATTATCCACAAAAATGATACAACCTGCAAAGGGGCAAAGATCCTGGAGTAAAGCGAATGTATACACACACACATATATATATATGTATATTGAAGATATTTTTATGTTTAACGTTCTTTTTTTTATAGATGCAAGTAATTTAAGTAAATGCTCTGTTTATAATAAACAGTATTAAATAACATTTACCGGCCTGAAAGTCCGAGAAATTTTCATAGAAAATATTCGTCTTTTGACAGGATTCGAACCTGCATCCTATACGAAGCCGTCATTTACGCTGACGTGCCTAACCTCTCGGCCACAAAGGATCGTTCGGTTGAATTTACTGCTTATAAACTTCAATCTTCCATGAATCTCGTACATTCATAACTGCTCATGGCGTATCAAATGTAAACAAATGACGTCATATATTAACAAATGGACAAAGTCCGACAATTTATTTATTAAAGACATTTTTATGTTTAACGTTCTTTTTAAAAAAAAAAGAACG